ATATATATATATATCAATTACTTTTAAAATAGTTATATTGTGTGAGAATGTTTTTAGAAACTATTTTTAAACAAAATATTTGTAAGAGTTTTTCTCAAATTAAAGTTTTTAGAAGTTATTGGTACTTTTATATATTTTGTTTTATTAACTACTTAAACCATTTAACTTGTCCTTTTTTATATTTATTCCTAAATCAAATTTTAATATTTTTATAAGAAAATATAAAATAATTAAAATTTGTTTTTTTTGTCACACTATAAATTATTTATTATAAATTTAAAATATAATTTAAATAATTAAAATATTTATTTATTATAAAAATTAATTATAACATAATTATATATTTAATAACATTTATTTATTATAAATTTTAGTTATATAAAAATAAATATTTATCATATGCATTATATAAACTAGACAACTAATTAATCAGTCTCTTGATATAATGGTTGTAAGACCTACTCTAAGACATAAAATTGACTTGATATTTTCACGATTGATTCCTATAGTGTTAAAATAATGTATCTTGTAATGCAAACTAATTATTGATTAGCTTTGCCATTTCCATGAAAAAAAAAGACTCAACAATTAATTTTTTTTTACCCCTCTATAATATTAAATTCGTAATTTTGGTCTTTCAATTTTTAATTTCACAATTTTAGTCCTTTAATTTTTAAAAATTTATAATTTGTGTCCCCTTATATCATATTTATCCCTTATTAGTTAAAATTATAACATTTATCATGATCTAACATTAAATAGAATAGATGACACAAAAACTAATATTTGATAATATTCAAGCTAAATTATACTTTTGTTTCTTACTTTCATCTTATTTTACTGTTTCTAAGAGATAAAAATGAGAATTAAAAAGTAAATTTTAACCCAAATATTATTAATTATTAATTAGTATGTCATTTATTTAATGTTAAATCATGACTAACATTACAATTTTAATAATCAATGGATTAACATTCAACAAAAGGACCAAAATAATGGATTTGATACTCCAAGAAGATTAAAAATACAATTTAACCTATTATAAAAGTCAACAAATTTACTATATAACACAAAATTTATATTTTATAATTGAATGTCAGAAAAAACCCATTATATTATCATTGCATATATTATGTACTCTTTTCAAGAACGGCTAGATAGTGAGAAAAGAAATATTGAATGAGGTAGAAAAATCCCATGGAAGAAATCACCCCTACTCCTTACCAAACCACCTCCAACAGTAGTATAAGGTTGAGTACAAAGGAGTGTTTAGACTTCAGACTTTAGAATGAACTCTATATTTTTTCTCCATCACTATATAACTCGTATAGAGTGGCAGAACACTTAAATTGTCAAATGTCATTTTGAACCGTTAAATATATCCAACGATTAAATTTATGGGGCATTCATGCGCCCAATTTCAAATGGAGCATTGTAGAATCAGGCTCCAAAAAAATAATATAATATATATTATTTTATTTTTTTACTCTGTTTTTGTCACTTTCCTAAAAGAACTTTTGAAAAATAAATAATTATTGCTTTAAATTTAAGCGTTATTATACATATACTTCTGCTGACTAAAAATACACAAAATAAGTTCACATTCGTGACACCGGTGGATGTTAGGAAGGCATAGAATTGCATAAAGTTAAACAGCCAATAAAAAATTTCAGGAGCATATACAGCACCTGACATGGTTTATCAAGTGACCTATTATATTAGAAGATATGCTATGCAATCTTCAATAAATTGAAATTGACATATACATTCTCCGTTTAACCTTCGGCAATCCTCATTTAAATAAGCTGGTGTTGTTGGGAAGTGAAAGTACGTCATAGTTATATCAAATACAGCATCAGCATATGAATAGTTGATAATTTCTGGTTTTGGATCCAACATTCAAGTAGTTCACATCAACAGCAACATCCCCAAAATCATCTAACAGGGGTGAAAACACAATATATTCAACCTTTCAGAAATGAAATTTAAGGTTAAAAAATGTCACAGCAGTATTCAAAAGGATACAGAAACCCGAACCTTCATATATAGTCCTTGCAAAATTTACATAATCAGGTATTAGATCTCTGTATATAATTCCATCAGGACGAGCATCCAGCACTACCAGAACACCTGTGCAATTAATATTATTAAGCCATAGATTAATTACCAAAGCGTAGAACAGTTGGTCAACGGTAGAAATGGATCAGAATTTGAGTGAAGAGAATGTATTATTAATGAAGATTCCTAATCTTGATCTTGCCCCAATATGGTGCAACACCATGAATCGAAAGAATATACAGAAATCAATCTTTTACCTTAAAAAATGGATCGGTAAACAAATTGTTGATGTGATGTCAATGTAGTGTATGGAAACAAAATGAGAGACATGTTAAACATCCAATTTATGCAGAAGTGTAGACGTCCACCTTCGTGTGATGTATGAAGGACACAAACAAGAAGGAAAAAGAATAGAAGGTGATTGTTTGAATTCAAAACCATTTGTGCATGACACATGCTAAAGGGAAAAAAAATAATTAAAAAAAGAACTACTACAGAAATGAATACAGAACACGTCCACCATCAGACGAATCCAGAGCTCTTAAAGAGTCATTCCACAAATCCAAAGCAAGAAGTATGACATTGGGTCCATATTTTGCAAGAAAGCAGCACAATGGTTTTGCTTCATCTAATATATAGACAACCGTGACAAATCATCTCCAGAGAAGAGTGCGACTGAAATGTATCACAGGTGCATGCCATTAAAAGGCAATGCACGCATTTTCTATTATATGCACGGCTTTGAGTCTGAGTGTCAGACATATTTGATTACGAGAGCACACAAAACATGCTCCCAAGCAACCAAAATAAGATCCTTCTTGATAGCTATATCCCTGCTTGAATTTGGAAGCATGATCAATGAACCAGGAAAAACCTACCATCTAAATGCAGCTGCCAAAACATGCCCTTGCCCTTGGTGTGCTATGTACAAAATGAGCTACATCACATGGACAAGGGAAGAACCTGCTGAGAACACGCAAAAGGTAGTGCCAAGGTTGTCAAACTCGAGAGTTTACACAAACTCGTGGAGCTCTCGTAGACTCGACTCGTAGACTCGTAAGAGTCTACCTAATATTAAAATATATTAATAAACATAAACACACACAATATGATATCACTATTTCAACATTCTAAGTCTGAAATAAGTCAAATAACAACAATAAAATGTCATAATACAAATCTTAACCATACATAAACAACCAAAAGTCGAAAACACATAAGTCCACAAATCAAAAACATAAAACAAGATCTAAATTAATCAATCAAAGTCCAATCCTCCAACAAATGCATGTGCATCATCATCATCTTCATTTTCTTCAAGCTCATCCTCTTCATTAACACTAAGAGACCAAAAAATAAAAAAATGTTAGAGTGACTCACGAAGACAGACGCGGTCGTATGCGGCAGAGATGCGGCGGAGGGAGAGAAAACAGACTCGCGTCCTTCCCAGCAAGAGGACGCGATTTCGTATGCAGGGGCGTTTGATAGCGACGGCATTCGTATGCAAGGGGCGTTTGATAGCGGCGGCGTTCGTATGCAGGGGGCGTTTGATTGCAGCGGCGTTCGTATGCAGGGGCGTTTGATTGCGGCGGCGTTCGTAGCGGCGGAGATGCGCGTTCGTAGCGGCGGAGATGAGCGTTCGTAGCGGCGGAGATCAGAGTTCGAACATTGCGGAGGGAGAAAAACCAGATCAGAAACGTGAGAATGGTGGAGGCATGTCGCGCGAAGGGAAAAATGCTTTCTCACTTACTAACCCTAGGCAAAACGACGTCGTTTTGGGCCATTTAGGGGTGAAAAAAAAAAAAAACCAGACTCGTGGACTCGGTCTCAGACTCGCGATTCTGACCGAGTCAGACCGAGTCTACCCGAGTCTACCAAAAAACGAGTCTATGAGCGAGTTAACCCGTTTTACTACCCTAGACTCGTAGACTCGTACGAGTTTACGAGTTGACTCGCGAGTTTGACAACCATGGGTAGTGCTGTACCCAAAAACACAATGTTTTATTTACTCTTGCATCTATGTACCAGACTCAGGTAGTTATTGTCTCACTGAAAGCTTGAATTTTATTTGCTACAGGTTTAAAGATCAATTAGTCTAAATTTTGTGCTATTTTCCCTCAAAATACATCTTAGAACCTGTTACTAATGGAATAAAGTTATTCATGAGCTTTCACCTAACAATTTAAGCTTTTGGGATAGTTAATTATTGACCTAGCATCAGAGACTCCTCCACTGAGTGATCGTGAGTTTGATCCATATCAAACTCATTCTTCAAAACAACATTTGAATTTCAGCATAAGGTTGATGAATGTGTGCATCGTTCATGCTTTAAGCCCAATGTCCCAAATCACAACAATCAATATGAAAAAAAAAAATCAAACTTAATACAGATATGGTAATTTTAGTGAAGATACCCGGTGCCACCCAAGATTCATCAGAATCACCAGGCATTGGAGCCAACCAGAGAATATTTCTCAGATTCATTGAATCGTCATATGTCACATTGGACCCTGAAAGAAGATCAAAAAATTGAAAAATGTCTTTTTAGAAGTTGACTATCAAAAGAAAAGACAACCCAAATATTTATATACATGCCATTCACAAGGAGATCTTAAACTTCGCAGTTAGCAGCATTATTAAGTCATCAAGGTTCTCCCTCTCTTGCCATCTCATTACTTCTCACTCACGCACAAGCATGCACAAATAAAAAATTATGAACTCACACAAGATTTCTTCCTTCTTTCTAGTAACATACAACAAACTGGAAGATTAACAGATAGGAAGGTAAGTTGAAATATACATAACATTTAAGGATGTAGTGGTAGTAGTGTACCTCTCTGACAAAAACCCATATTGTATGGGAACACTTGTTTATCATATGCTGGGTACTCCTTCGCATGGAATCTGCCAAATGTGAAATTGTTGCATTCTTAACAGTAACAAACTTAAAAAGTCCTAAAAAGTGAATTATATATAATCAATCTAACACAATACATGGATTCGGAACAAGTAACAAAGAACTAATATAAAATTAGAAAACCACCGAAAGGTGGTGGCAGCTTGCTGCCCTGAAAAACCAAGACCCTACATGGAAACCTTTCGAGCCGACTCGAACGCACACCCAGGGGTCATTCCACTCGCTCAGACACCACACCTCACTTCCCCACACCTCCGCCGTTGCCCCTGGAAATCATGCCTCAGCTGTCCAAACACCCGGCCGATCGTTGCACACTATGCTGACCGGAGCACACCGACACCCGTTCACCCCAAATATCATGCAGTCTTTGCTCCTCGACCACTGGAAGTCCCTTCTGCTAGACAAATATGATGGAACGACCGATCCCGACGAGCATGTCGACATCTTTCTCACCCAAGTCACCCTCAGCACTACCGATGACGCCGCCTTATGCCGAATTTTTCCAACATCCTTGAAGGGACGAGCATTGAGCTGGTTCACACGGCTCCCAGCCAACTCAATTGACTCTTTCAATACATTGGCAACCCAATTCACCATCCAGTTCGCCACCAGTCGACCTCACTAGCTAACCTCCCTAGCATTGGTGAGTATAAGGCAAGAGAAGAAGGAATCTCTTCGGACCTTCATGAGCTGATTCAACAAAGCAGCATTGGAGATCCGAGACCTGAACCCAACCGTGGCCCTCCACCATCTGACCACATCCCTGAAGCCTGGACCATTCGCTAATAGCATCTGCAAGAAACCCCCGACCGACATGGACGACCTACAACGTCGCGCCGATAAATACATGTAGATGGAAGAACTTGCTGAGTTTCGCAACCAGGCCAGAACAAAGGTAGCGGCCAAAATGGAAAAGCCGGCTGAGAACTCTTACCGAAGCCGCCCAAAGGATCTTGTCCCCCGAGAAAAACCTACTCGCGGTACACTTCATTGAACACTAGCCGATCGGCTGTCCTAGATCAAGCTCTTGCGTCGGAAGTCCTGGCAGTGCCGAAGCGAGCCTCGACCCCTCCACGCGCCGACACTATCAAATCCTGCAAGTATCACCGAAATCGTGGCCACTCGACCGAGGAGTGTTCAACCTTGAAAGATTAAATTGAGGACTTGATCAAACAAGGGCAGCTCCAACGCTTCATCGATCGGCCTCATTCTCCCCGACACGACGATCGCCGACATCGTTGGGATCAGCCTGACAGAGAAAGGTCCGACAGGCGTCCCTACAGAGAACGTAGTCGATCAAGGGGTCGAAAGGAAGAGGAGCCGACAACCCAGCCCCGAAGGGTCATTAATACCATTGTTGGTGGATTCGCAGGCGGAGGTTCCACTTCGTCGGCACAAAAAAGACATCTGCGAGCTGTTTAAACCATACACGCGGTTGAACAAACTCAACAAAGATTGCTGGCCATCACATTCACCGAATCTGACTTTAAAGGCATTGATCCAGATCAAGACGATCCCATGGTTATCAGCGTCTAAATCCACAACTGCATTGTTCGGAAGACGTTGATCGATTAGGGAAGCTCGGCCTACATCCTCTATTGGAACACGTTCAAACAGCTCGGCATCCTGGAGGCCGAGTTGATTCCATACAACGAGCCCTTAGTCGAATTCTCTGGTGAGCGTGTCCAAACCAATGGGTACATCAAGTTATCCACGTGCTTCTATTTTGATGGAGCCGAAACCCGAGACATCCCGGTCAAATACGTGGTTGTACATGCTAACACCTCGTACAACATTCTCCTTGGAAGGTCGTCCCTGAACAAGCTAGGTGCGATTGTGTCAACCCCACACTTAGCAATGAAATTCCCGTCGGAGTCAGGTCGAATAATCACTATCCATGCCGATCAGAAAGCGGCTAGAGAATGTTATTTTGCCAGTCTTCGGCTTCCACTTCTCGGAGCGGCCGAACCATGCGGAATGAAGCGCGTACACATGATAACGCAAGAGCTTGATGCAACAATCGTGGACTTCAACCCTCGAATGGAGCAGGCCGAGAGGGTCAAACCCATCGAAGATCGGCACCCAATTGTCATCGGGCCGACTGATTCACATGTTACCTACCTTGGCTCTAACTTGTCTAAACAAGCAAAGCGAGAAATCGAACGAGTCATGGTGAAAAACAAAGATCTCTTCGCATGGCGGCCCGCCGATATGCCCGGGATTGACCCCAATTTCCTCTTTCACAAACTCTCTGTGTGCCGAGAGGCAAAACCAGTCGCCCAGAGGAAAAGAAAGACCGGAGAGGAAAGGAAGAGAGCCATAGAAGGCGAAGTTTCCAAGCTCTTGGATGCAGGGTTCGTCTGAGAAGTCCATTACACTACGTGGTTGGCCAACGTAGTCATGGTCAAAAAGTCGAACGACAAATGGCGAATGTGCACTGATTATATAGATTTGAACAAGGCATGCCCCAATGATGCCTATCCTCTGCCGAACATTGATTGGTTGGTTGACGGTGCAGCCGACCATAACTTCTTAACCTTCCTTGACGCATATTCCAGATACAATAAGATCCGTATGCATCCCCGAGACGAGGACAAACGGCATTTGTCACCGAATCAACTAACTATTGTTATCAAGTGATGCCGTTCGGCTTGAAGAACGCCGAAGCCACCTATCAGCGACTCATGGACAAAATCTTCCATGAAAAAATTGGAAAGAACATGGAAATTTATGTGGACGATATGGTGGTTAAGTCGGCCGACATGTTTTCCCATGTAGCCGACCTGGCTGAAGTTTTCCAAGCACTACGAAGACACCAAATGAGACTTAATCCCGACAAGTGCGTTTTTGATGTTTCAGGCGGCAAGTTCCTAGGATTCATGCTCTCGAGCCGAGGTATCGAGGCAAACCCAGACAAGTGTCTGGCCATCATAGATGTGAGAAGCCCAGTAAGCCTCAAAGAAGTCCAAAAATTGGCGGGCCGATTGACGTCTTTGTCTCGCTTCCTACCGTGTATGGCCGAAACCTCCAAGTCGATAATTGCCCTCTTAAAAAAAGTGAACAGATTTCAATGGACAGATGAATGTGAAGTCTCTTTCCAACTATTCAAACAAAGACTCGGCACCCCACCCGTGTTGGCC